GTGCATAAGGATTACAATTTTCAGACCAGTGAAACATAAGACAAGTCAGATAAAAAAAAAAACATCAAGAAAAAAGACGTCAGATTAAGCGTTAATACCAAAGCAATTTCGACTTCACAATATTTCTGTATTTTCAATAGACAAGCCTGACATACGTCATTATGTCAAATCTTAGTCTTCATTATTAAATAAACAAAAATGTGTAAAATATTGAAGATCTCATGCGTATAAATAAGCTATGATATTTCAAAAAAAATATATATCACAGTCTCAATACAACACCGAAATAGTCAATAAAATATAACCAACACCTGTTTCGGATAACGATACTTTAACAAAAAATTCGATAAAACTCAACTAAAACACATTCTGCATAGCAACACAACAACGAAAGATTCAAGGAAACTAAGCCAAAATCTGACCAAAATAGATAACAATACATTAATAAAAAAATCCAATAAAATTCAACCAAAACACATTCAACATAACAATATAACTCTGACAGACTCAAAAAAATTATAACAAAACTTGTTTAGGATAATAATACCACACTGGGAAGTCTAAGAAACAAAACTAAAACCCATTCACCATGACAATGCAACATCGGAAGATTCAAGTAAACTAGATCAACACCCGTAAATCACGTAATTATATCTAAACATTCAAGTAAACTAGATCAATACCCATTCATCACGCAATTACATCTAAATATTCAAGTAAACTAGATCAATACCCATTCATCACGCAATTACATCTAAATATTCAAGTAAACTAGATCAATACCCATTCAGCACGTAATTACATCTAAAGATTCAAGTAAACTAGATCAATACCCATTCATCACGTAATTATATCTAAAGATTCAAGTAAACTAGATCAATACCCATTCATCCCGTAATTATATCTAAAGATTCAAGTAAACTAGATCAATATCCATTCATCACGCAAATACATCTAAAGATTCAAGTAAACTAGATCAATACCCATTCATCCCGTAATTATATCTAAAGATTCAAGTAAACTAGATCAATACCCATTCATCACGCAAATACATCTAAAGATTCAAGTAAACTAGATCAATACCCATTCATCATGTAATTACATCTGCTACGTATGAGAATTTTAAATGGTCTGAAACCGAACTAAATGATGCTTTAAATTTAGTAGTTAAATTGTATTTTGGATTTAGCAGTTACGTAAAAACCGATTTATAGTCAGTTTATGATATTTGCCAACAAGATTGATACACACAGTTTTCCTTTGTAACACAAATACGTTTTAATATACACATAACAATACAATAATGGTTATTACAAATAGTTATTAGAAACAATGATTTATAAACAAAAGTTTCACAAACTTACAAGGAATATAAAGTCTTTCTTTTAATATGGAGCTTCTTCAATATCTTATCGAGGATTCACGATGAACAAGTTGATTACGAGTTGACGTAGATATATTTCACTTAACAGGAAGTTAGCTAACTTTGTCCTTATTTAGTTATCGGCCACACACGTCG